CTAATATAATTTTTTCTTTGTTAAAAATAAAAATTAGTGTATGATTACACTATTATAATTTATTTATTATTATTATTATTATTTTTCAAAATTAATACTTTTAATAATAAAAATATAAAAAATACATATAATTGTTTTTAAGCATTTCCTTATCAGTTATTTAATTTAAAATAACAATCATCAACTATTATATAGCCAAATAATTATATTAATCGAATCCATTATTCGTTTTTTACTATCCGTCATTCACTATTTGTTAATTGTCACCCACTACCCACTATCGCTATTTGTCATTCGCTATCTATTATTTACTATCAACTGAATTTTAACCGTTATATCAAACAGGACATTTGATAAACAATTCCCTCCTAATTAACAGGTAGTTATTCCCAATAGTTAAGAGTGTGTTTGGTTTGGATGATTTTATCAATTTATAAGCTTTTTGTTTCCTTAAATAACTAGTTAAGCTATTTAAAAACATCACTTTATAAGTTGATCTTAAATTATTAAGTAATACATATAAATATTTCTATCAACTAACAATTACAACTATTAATTATTTCTAACAGTTAAACTAAACAAAGGCTAAGTTCATATTGTTTGAGTAAAACTTTGACCATTGTTGGCTGTTAGAGTAACTGCACTGTCTGCACACGAGCCAATAAAAGTAACTGTTGGAACTTCTTCATTTCATTTTGGACACACTATTCTTTGATGGATTTTGAATCCTTTTCGAATGTCAATTAGATCCCTTTATGACAACATTATGCTGTTATTTTTTTGTCCGATTTAAGAAAACTACCTGTTAATTACGTTGGATCACACTTGTGCAGCCTCAATATATGTGCGTGGGAATTCATGATTTGCCTTGGCTTCTTCGCTGCTGCATGGTATATTTCTAATGTAAAATCAAAATTACTTAGGTTAAATTCTTATTTGTACCTTATATATTATTTTTTTAGTTAATATCTTTTAAATTTTTACTTTCATTCGATATCATTTATAATTTGAAATTCATATTATTAACAAAATATGAGTATAATAGAGCTAGAGTTTGATTATTAATTTTTAAATTTTTTATGAATTTTAAATTAGGAAAGATGTTAACTAAAAATAAAAATTTGTTAAGGTTTTGATTATAAAAAAAAAATAATATACAAGTTGCAAATAGGGGTTTGTTCAATTACTTATCTTCTTGCTTAAGTTTTTCCTCTCATTATTTATAATTTGCCCAGAATTCTATAATTGGTTTGCCCCTGCGCAGCGTAAGGGTAGCAAATGAGCTGGGGAAGGGAAATGCTGAGGCTGTGAAATTCTCTATAAAAACCATTTTGAGTACTACGACTTTTATTGGACTGTTCTTCTTTGTTCTGTGTTTGGTATTCGGACGCCAAATTTCCTACCTATTTTCAAGTAGTGAGGAAGTTGCAGAATCTGTGTCCAGCCTTTCAAATCTCCTTGCAATCAACATATTGTTGAATAGCATTCAGCCAGTCCTCTCAGGCAAGTTCTCCAATTCTCTTAAAATATGCAGTAGTCTCCCCTCAATACACAAGCAATTGCACTGAGCTTGAACTTTGAACTTAGAAACAATTGAGCTCTTAGGCTTAAGACATGAACCATTTGATCAAGGTGGTCAATCCTGCTTATATATACAAACTTGAACTATGGTAATTGTTTTGAGCCTAGTGTTTTGCAATCTGAATTGTAAAATAACGGTCATCGGATGGAAAGACCCTCCATTATCCAATAGTTTATATTTTATATTCCGTACATACAGAGCACCTTTTTTGAACTGTTTTTTGGTTCATGAACTACGGTAAATTAAACATTGTTCTGTTGTAGTTTAAGATTTATACACTTAAAACCTTTTTTAAAACATTGCATATAACCCCTTCAAACTCAAGATAAAAGGATCATTGTAGCAGGTTTCCTCTTTCACAATACAGACTTAAAATCTACTAAAATTTGAAGTTTCGAATTGAGAAACAGGGATTACCATATGTTAGACTAATGAATGAGAAAGGTTTTTAATTGTTCGTTACAGGAGTGGCAATAGGCGCTGGAATGCAAACAACAGTTGCTGTAGTGAACTTAGGGTGCTATTATGTGATAGGGATACCTCTAGGAGTTGTTCTGGGATATGTGGTCAATCTTCAAATTAAGGTAAGTGACTGAAACTGAGAAGGGATGATGGATACCCTACCCTCTGCTTCTAATCTGTTTTTGTTTATGCAATATTAAGAGTTCTTTTTTTTTTCTTTTTTTTTTATTATTAACTTTTGACTTTCTTCTTTACAGGGTCTGTGGATTGGAATGCTAACGGGAGTGGCAATGCAAACCTTTGTTCTTTCTTTAATTGTATGGAAAACCAATTGGGACAACCAGGTAAGCATGGTGAAACATTATGGTGAGCCTAATTCTAGATTAGCTAGGGTCCACCTAAATTTAAAGAGGCAAAATTTATTGAAAGTAAATTTAAGCCAAGTACAAAATGAAATCTATATATGATTTAGAGAAATTAAACTCGAAGGTATCAGTTTAAATATTTTGAGAAAGGGAAAGATTTGAATATTTTGACATTAAAAAATTAAAATATAACAAAAAAAAAAAAAAAAAAAAAAAAAAAAAAACATGTGAATACCCTTTTCAAGGCTATAAATACCCCAAGGGTCCTCCCTCAAAGGTAATTAAAACCGCTCTCATACCTTGTCTTTGTTCTTTTCCAAGTAGACTTTATTATTGCTCATTTAGGTATTAGAGTGTTTATTCTGAGAACCAACCTCGAGACTTTGCAGGTTAATCGAAGAGAAGATCTTGACGTAAAAAGACTTTGTAGTTCTTTGCAACTACAAGTATTGAGCCTATTGTCACAATCGGTCTTGACGTACGTAAATGAAGGTATATGTAACAATTCATTGTATTCAGAGAGCATGAGGTGTCTGTCAGTACTATCCTATTATAAATTCCTAATATCAGCATGCATATAAGCATATCTCATTAATTACATACTAGTAATTTCTAGCTCGGATTGTTAACTCGTTCCCTCCTAATAATAACTTGTAAATTAAAGTCTTTTTCCGGTTTTAGTTATGGCCACACATATTTTTTAGAGTCATGAAAACTGTATAATTTTTTTTTTTTTTGAAAAGCAAAAGAATTTTATTGTGAGTACAAGGGGTACTCAAATCCTTAAATATCAGTACATGAAATTACATGTAGTCAATGTGATCAAGACAAAATCATCCACCATTCCAAAAACCAGACCCAGGAAACCTATACTCCCATCAAGTCTCTATATCCTGTTTGTCAAGTATCTCACTGGATTAGAAATCCATTCCATATAGGAGAAATTTTCCAAATTCAATAGATTTCTAACCCAGTGAAATGAGCGTGCTTGAACTAGTTCAAATAGCCTATCCTCATTTAACTTCCTATGTTGGAAAGCAGTTTCATTTCTGCTTAACCATAATGACCAAACTACAGTAAACCATAACATGCCCCATCCTTGTTTTAAGCTTTTTGACCCCCTGTGCCATCTATGTTGGGTGAATACATCTATACAAGTGTTTCCTAATACATAATATAATCCCCACCAATTAAGGCATTTTGTCCACAAATTGTAGGAGGTGTTGCAAGCTAGAAAAAGATGTTCTGTATCTTCAGGAAGTTGATCACACCAAAAGCATTTTATATTTTGAGTAGCATTCAAAATTCCATGCTTTGCTAAATTAACCTTTGTAGGAATTCTATCTAAGAGTAGTTGCCATGAGAAAGCACTCACTTTTGGTGGGACTTGCGCCTCCCATATTTTTGTGTACTCCAGCAGCCTATTCTCCTCTTTTTTTGCTAGCTGCACATAAGCTGTCCTTGTGGTATATCTTCCCCCGGTCTCTAGGCTCCAACACCAAGTGTCCGTTGCGCCTTGCACTAGTTTTTTGTGTTTTATTGTCTCCAGCAATTGTTGCAAATTTTCCTCTTCCCAAGCTCTAAGTGGTCTTCTCCACTTGAATTTCCAGTCCCAGCTTCCGTCGTTCCAATGTCCCATTTGATTGATGCTGCAATTCTTTTCTGTAGCCAACAAAAACAGCCTTGGAAAAACATTAGCCAAAGAGGTCCCTCCCACCCATGTGTCTAGCCAGAATCTAACAATTTTCCCTTCTCCCAAATTCATTTTGAGATTCGGAAGCAACCACCCATCTTTGCTATCTACACCCGTATTTAATTTACAAATATCATTCCACCATGATGATCCTAAGACTCTTTCCTCACTCAACCATGATAACCAATTTCCATCCTTGCAGCCATATTTTTCTAACAGCACCCTCGCCCAAAGGCCCTTCTCTCCCCCTATTAATCTCGCCCACCATTTGCCTAGCAAGGCTATATTAAACCATCTAAGGTTTTTTACCCCCAGCCCTCCCTCTTTTTTTGTGCTACACACCCTGTCCCAGGATACCCAAGCTATCTTTTTGCCTCCCTCAACCCCTCCCCACAAAAAATTCCTCCTAATTTTATCAATTTCCTAGATTACCTGTTTTGGGAGCAGATATACCGACATCAAGAACACTGGTAGGCTGGATAGCACAGCGTTTATGAGGGTAATTCGTCCACCGAGCGATAAGAATCTTCCTTTCCAAACTGAGAGCTTTCTTCTGAATGAGTCTATTAGAGGTCTCCAGGTGGTTATTCTCTTTGGATTTGCCCCCAATGGCATGCCAAGATATTTACAAGGGAGGGATTCGGTTTTACAGTTCAGCATCCATGCCATGCTTCTGATCCAGTCTTCATCTGTATTCACTCCAATTAAAGAGCTTTTTCTGTAGTTTATCTTCAAACCTGACACCAATTCAAATGCCCTCATTATGCATTTTGCTGTCCAAATGTTATCTTCAGTCGCCTCTCCCATAAAAAGTGTGTCATCCGCAAACTGAAGATGGCTGATTTCTAACTCTCCCTCTCCTATTTTGACTCCACGGAAGTAACCCTTTGCAACAGCTGCGAAAGTTAGTCCATTTAGAGCTTCTGCCACCATTAGGAACAGGAATGGGGATAATGGGTCGCCTTGTCGGAGCCCTTTTGTCATCGAGAACTCTTTGGTAGCACTTCCGTTGACTAAAATGGACACCGTGTTTGATCTTAAGCATTCTGAGATCCACCCCCTCCATACTATATCAAAACCCATTCTCTCCATCATGTAATCAAGGAAGGACCAGCTCACCTTATCATAAGCTTTTTCAAAGTTGATTTTGAAAATAAAGCACCGGGATTTTCTTTTTCGTGCCCTATCAATCGCTTCATTTGCAACAACCACTCCATCTACAAGTTGCCTTCCCTCAATAAAAGCAGATTGATTTTCTCCTATAATTGAGTTCAATGTTTTGCTGAGCCTATTTGCTAGCAACTTAGCAAGAATTTTGTAAGTGCATCCAATTAAAGAGATGGGTCGATACTCCTCCACACCTTGGGGGTTCTCTGTCTTCGGTATCAAGACAAGAAAAGAAGCATTAGACCCCTTTACCAGTTTTCTGTTGCTGTGAAAATCCTTAAGGAATTCCATGATATCTGCCTTGATCACCTCCCATTCACTCTTTATAAAACCCAAAGTAAATCCATCTGGCCCTGGAGCTTTGGTGCTGTCACAATTCCATACCGCTGTTTTGACTTCTTCTTCTGTAAAAGGCTTAGTAAGCATACATCTATCTGCCTCCAAAATGGTTCTGAATTTGAGCCCCTCTAACTTCGGTCTTGTCCATCCCTCATCTGTAAATAAGTTCTCAAAATACTTCATCATTCCTTGTTTTATATCTCCAACTTGCCTAAACTCTTCACCCCCTATGGAGATTACATTTATTTCATTTCTGCGCCATCTCCCTTTGATGCAATTGTGGAAGAAGCTGGTATTAGCGTCTCCTATTTTCAGCCAGTTTTTCCTTGCTTTTTGTTGGGCCATCTCTTCTTTCAATTGCATATTCTTTAATAATTCAGTGTAGTGTGAGCTTCTAAGGAATAGATCTTCTTTTGTTAAGCTGCACTTTTCTGCTTTTACATCAATTCTATTCATCTCCTCCTTAGATTCCTCAATCTTTCTATCCACTTCTTGTAATGAAGTTTTTGACCAAACCCGAAGGAACTCTTTAGTCTTTTTCAATTTTTCCTTCAAAATGAATCCACCCCATCCTTGGACTGAAATCTCTCTCCATTTTGCTGCAACCATCTCTGTAAATCCCGGGTTTTGTAGCCAAGCAAAACTGTATAATTTTTATCTTAACATAGCCATTAAGAATAGTGCAGTGATAGTTGGTAGAATAATTGATATTTATTATTTAATAAATTGAAGTTAGTTTATAAACATATATTTTAAAATATTATAATTAATTATTTAAGAAAAAATACAAACTAATAAAATATCTGAAAAGCTGTGTCGCCTACATAACTACAGCCTTTTTAAGTCTAAATATAGATTAAATAAGTTTAAATTAAATCTATTTTTTAATTTAAAAAATTAAACATATCTAAATTAATAAAAAATTTTCTAACACAAGTGCACAAGCTAGAAAAACTCAATTAATAATTTAATGTATAATCCTAGCAAAAAATTTTTGAAATAAAAAATAGTTAAAGTAATAATTTAAGGGTTTAAATTAAATTATACCGATGTAAATTACAGTGCTAAATAATTTTTCTTAAAATTTGTATTTTGACCTAATTTAAGAGCTAGACCCCAGTCTTCGGCGTTATTGTCATAGGTTTTTATTTTCTTTTTAAAATGTTATTGTCATAGGTTAAAAAGAATGGAATGGGCATCTTTTCATAAAAAAAAAAAAAACAAAAAAGGAAAAGAAAAATCATGCAGCCTTCGTTTCTTCACTTACCATTCAACATCCAACTAATTAATTAACCTGCGTGTTGTGTGGAGTAGGTGTCTTTACCAAAAGAAACACGTGTTCCTATCAATAATATATTATTTATGTTCTGTGCGGTCAAAATTCTACCAAAACATCCCTTTAATTCATTTTGCAATTGTAAAAACATAGGAGTATATACATCAATCATCATATTCATATGGAAAGATTATGTGACATTAATTAATTTTCATTTAGTATAAGGTTGTACTTGGGATTGTGACAACACCTCAATAAAAGTATTAATTTATTATAATTAAATTAATTTTAATATTTTTTATAATTTAATAATCATATTAATGTATAAAACTATTTTTAAAACAATTATCAAATAATAACAAAGCTTTTGTGAAAGTAAAATGCTCAAAAAATTATAATCGTAACATTTTACGACAATCACTAATAAGATAAGTAATTTAATAATAATATTTTTAATAAAAATAATAAAATTTAAATTTAAATCACATTATATTCAAATAAAATAAGTTAAATAATAGGAGTTGAATGTTTCGATTGTACAATTGAAAAAAAATTCACACAATCCAAACATAACTTTTACAATTTTAATTGAGTTAATACATATTAAAACGGAAACGATTTTTTTTTTTAATAAGTAAAACGGAAAGGATTGATTATTAAAAAAATAAAAAATTATTCACCGCAATCTTAATTACTCTTATCGTAAACTTTGATAATCTTACTGGCAGTAACAGTGTGTTTGGCTCTTTTTAACTTGACCAAAGCAAGTTATTATACATTTATTTATTTAATATCTCACATTTATTTATTTAATATTAGATAATTACTGCGATTACTTAATCATGAAATTTTTATTGTGACTTTCTGAGCTAAAAAGAAATGTTAACTAAAAAAGGTAATGATAGTGACAACTTTTTTTTAAATGTCATTTAATATATTTATATTTATTTTTTTATTTTAAAAAGATAGTTATAACATATAATATTAAATAAAAAATTATTTAAAAAATAATAAATTAAAGATAAATATAAAATTTAATTAATTAATTATTATATCTTTATTTTATTGAATAAAGGGAAAACTAAATTTACTAAATTTAAACAAAGGAGTATGAAAATGTGTACAAAAATGACCTCTTAATCATTTTCTTTACAAAAACTAATTATTAAGCACTCTTAATTATATATTTACATTCTCCCTTCATTCTAAAATAATAAAAGTTTTTTTTACCTCATATTAACGATTAAGAGATAATTTATATTTTTATTTATAATTACCCTTAAAAGTATAAAAATAAAAAGATATTTTTTTTATAACAAACTAAATTATCAAAATTGAGGAATAATAATAATGTTAAACAGAGAAAAAAATTTTACCTCTCTTAAAATACTCTAAAAATGTCCATCAATCTAGAACAAATTCTAAATATAAAAAAATATATATTATTTAAAGAAAAAGGAGTACAGGGAGGATAATAAAACTTCAGCAATAATATACTTATGTTGCCGGTGGTTGTAAATTTATAATAAGCGTCTTTAAATATGAAGAATTACATTTACTAATCTTTTCAGAAGTTTGGGACTCATTTATAAATTCTGCAGGTATAGCAAGCACAGTGGCCATGGAGAACAATCTTGCAGAGAGGTTGCTACTAACTACCAAAGAACAAGAAAACACCACTAATCTGAGGACGAAGGTCTTGAATGAATCAAAGACCATCTGGAGAATCGCTTTCCCCGGAATAATCGCCAGAGTCACTTCTTTCGGTCTCATCATCGTCACTCAGTCCTTCCTGGGTCATGTCAGTGATATCCAACTCGCTACCTTCGCCTTCGTCCAAAGCATTTTCCTACGCTTCATCAATGGAATCCTCGTAAGCACGAATTTTCCGAACTTCGATTTTTTTTATAAAAAAATACGCAGTGAGTAGTTATTGTAACTTGGTAAGGGAGAACGTTCACTTTGTTGTCTTAATCCATTTAATATTCAATCCCCTGTCAATCTAAAACTAACGGTTTATTGTCTATGTGAAATTAATTAGATCGGCATGTCAAGTGCGACCGAAACATTATGCGGCCAAGCATACGGCGCCGGACACTACCACATGATGGGAATTTACTTGCAGAGGTCTTGGATTGTTGACGGAGTAGTGGCGACACTGGCAGTTCCGTTCTTCGTATTTGCCAGACAAATCTTGAGACTTCTTGGTGAGGAGGAAGAGATAGCAGTGGCGGCAGGGCCGATCTCGCTCTGGTTCATACCCTTCCTCTACAACTTTGTCTTCGCACTGACAATCCAAATGTACTTGCAAGCGCAGATGAAGAACATGATCATTGGCTGGCTCTGCGCTGCTTCCTTCCTGCTTCATCTGTTGGTCTCATGGATTTTCGTTTACAAGCTTGACTGGGGAGTCAACGGAGCAATGGCCGCCTTGAATATCTCCGGTTGGTCAACGGTGATCGGCGAGTTCGTGTATATATTTGGAGGGTCTTGTCGGGATACATGGAAAGGGTTCAGTAAAGCTGCCTTCCAAGACATTCTCCCTGTGATCAAGCTCTCCTTGTCCTCTGGTATCATGTTGTGGTAATTCAATCTGATTCCTTTGTTTTTTTTCCGCTTTAACGATGAATTAGAAGACTCTCACAATCTGTCACAATATAGGGGGAACATATAGTAAGTTTTATGTGAATTATATCCATGTGCAGTTGAGATTAGACATTCTAATATTAAAAAATAATAATTTTTTACATATTAGAATTTAATATATTCCTATTTTAAATATCCAAGTATCATTTCCAAGATCTGAGGTTCAAAACTTTTCATAAAGCAGGCACTATGCACACAATCACTTGAGCAATTTTGGAGTAAGTAGAACCGTGCCACGTGACTCTCATGGGCAAGTAACCCAATTGGACAACAAGCCCAATTAGGCCGACAAATTTGAAAATGACAACTATCAATAGGATGTTATAGCCCAAGACCTTCCAACGCCATCCCTAGTACTCTCTGGGGCAAGTGAATTTCGGCCTACCAACTTTAATATTTCAGCCTTTTAGTGTGTTTTAGGTTTCTAAAAACCTTTGAAGACCAAATTGAAATTGGAGGGTTTTTGTAATGGCCAAACCCTTTATTTACATCCTAAGCATTACTATTTTTCATGGTTAACACCCTCTAGAATTTTCATTCTCAGTTAACATCTTTCATAATTTGAAATCTATAAAAAAAACCCCAAACAACAAACCAAGTCAAGATGCAAATAGAGATTTTAGTTGTTAACTTTTGAGTATTTTATGGGTTTTAAATTATGGAGAATGTTGATCAAGAGTGAAAATTTTAAAAGATATGAACTGCATAAAACAATAATGTCCATGGTACAAATAAGGGGTTTGATATTCCTTCTTTGAGGGCAATTTGATTGATAATTTTTTGGTTTTTGATAGCTTGGAACTATGGTATAACTCTACTTTGGTGTTGCTGGCTGGATATATGAAGAATGCAACTGTTGCCATCTCTGCTTTATCCATCTGGTAAGTCCCCCCCTCCTTCCCTCTTTAAAGAAAACTTCTTATTTTCTTTTTAATTATAATATTTATTTTTTTTTTTAATTTTGAAAATTACAATATTGAACTTAATGTCAAAGTCAGCCCATGGCATAGAAACGTTAGGGTTGAGCATGTATTAAGTAAATTATTTTAGTTTTGTACTTAGAGGGCATTTTTGGGGGAAGTTTGGCATAGTAGTTTAGAGGTAACAGTTAATGGTTTTATTCAAACTGTTAAAAATAAATGTTTGGTAAATTTATTATTTCGAAATCGCTATAAATTAAGTGTTTAGTAAAACATTTTATTTAATGGTTTGGGACTAACAAATAGTAGTTACAGTTCAAACTACTAGTGAATTATACCAAACTACTAGCAAATTGAAATTTTTTAAATTTTATTGACAAATTTATATCTTTTAATTTTTTAATTTTTGGCTACATTTTTTAATTATTACTTATCTAATTAGTTTTAACTTTATTTTTTATCTTTAGTAATATTAAGTAATTATCATAAAAAATATATTAACATAATAAACAAAATTTATTGATTAGACAAAAAGATTAAATTTTTTTATACTTTTTTTAAAACTAATATAATTTTTTCTTTGTTAAAAATAAAAATTAGTGTATGATTACACTATTATAATTTATTTATTATTATTATTATTATTTTTCAAAATTAATACTTTTAATAATAAAAATATAAAAAATACATATAATTGTTTTTAAGCATTTCCTTATCAGTTATTTAATTTAAAATAACAATCATCAACTATTATATAGCCAAATAATTATATTAATCGAATCCATTATTCGTTTTTTACTATCCGTCATTCACTATTTGTTAATTGTCACCCACTACCCACTATCGCTATTTGTCATTCGCTATCTATTATTTACTATCAACTGAATTTTAACCGTTATATCAAACAGGACATTTGATAAACAATTCCCTCCTAATTAACAGGTAGTTATTCCCAATAGTTAAGAGTGTGTTTGGTTTGGATGATTTTATCAATTTATAAGCTTTTTGTTTCCTTAAATAACTAGTTAAGCTATTTAAAAACATCACTTTATAAGTTGATCTTAAATTATTAAGTAATACATATAAATATTTCTATCAACTAACAATTACAACTATTAATTATTTCTAACAGTTAAACTAAACAAAGGCTAAGTTCATATTGTTTGAGTAAAACTTTGACCATTGTTGGCTGTTAGAGTAACTGCACTGTCTGCACACGAGCCAATAAAAGTAACTGTTGGAACTTCTTCATTTCATTTTGGACACACTATTCTTTGATGGATTTTGAATCCTTTTCGAATGTCAATTAGATCCCTTTATGACAACATTATGCTGTTATTTTTTTGTCCGATTTAAGAAAACTACCTGTTAATTACGTTGGATCACACTTGTGCAGCCTCAATATATGTGCGTGGGAATTCATGATTTGCCTTGGCTTCTTCGCTGCTGCATGGTATATTTCTAATGTAAAATCAAAATTACTTAGGTTAAATTCTTATTTGTACCTTATATATTATTTTTTTAGTTAATATCTTTTAAATTTTTACTTTCATTCGATATCATTTATAATTTGAAATTCATATTATTAACAAAATATGAGTATAATAGAGCTAGAGTTTGATTATTAATTTTTAAATTTTTTATGAATTTTAAATTAGGAAAGATGTTAACTAAAAATAAAAATTTGTTAAGGTTTTGATTATAAAAAAAAAATAATATACAAGTTGCAAATAGGGGTTTGTTCAATTACTTATCTTCTTGCTTAAGTTTTTCCTCTCATTATTTATAATTTGCCCAGAATTCTATAATTGGTTTGCCCCTGCGCAGCGTAAGGGTAGCAAATGAGCTGGGGAAGGGAAATGCTGAGGCTGTGAAATTCTCTATAAAAACCATTTTGAGTACTACGACTTTTATTGGACTGTTCTTCTTTGTTCTGTGTTTGGTATTCGGACGCCAAATTTCCTACCTATTTTCAAGTAGTGAGGAAGTTGCAGAATCTGTGTCCAGCCTTTCAAATCTCCTTGCAATCAACATATTGTTGAATAGCATTCAGCCAGTCCTCTCAGGCAAGTTCTCCAATTCTCTTAAAATATGCAGTAGTCTCCCCTCAATACACAAGCAATTGCACTGAGCTTGAACTTTGAACTTAGAAACAATTGAGCTCTTAGGCTTAAGACATGAACCATTTGATCAAGGTGGTCAATCCTGCTTATATATACAAACTTGAACTATGGTAATTGTTTTGAGCCTAGTGTTTTGCAATCTGAATTGTAAAATAACGGTCATCGGATGGAAAGACCCTCCATTATCCAATAGTTTATATTTTATATTCCGTACATACAGAGCACCTTTTTTGAACTGTTTTTTGGTTCATGAACTACGGTAAATTAAACATTGTTCTGTTGTAGTTTAAGATTTATACACTTAAAACCTTTTTTAAAACATTGCATATAACCCCTTCAAACTCAAGATAAAAGGATCATTGTAGCAGGTTTCCTCTTTCACAATACAGACTTAAAATCTACTAAAATTTGAAGTTTCGAATTGAGAAACAGGGATTACCATATGTTAGACTAATGAATGAGAAAGGTTTTTAATTGTTCGTTACAGGAGTGGCAATAGGCGCTGGAATGCAAACAACAGTTGCTGTAGTGAACTTAGGGTGCTATTATGTGATAGGGATACCTCTAGGAGTTGTTCTGGGATATGTGGTCAATCTTCAAATTAAGGTAAGTGACTGAAACTGAGAAGGGATGATGGATACCCTACCCTCTGCTTCTAATCTGTTTTTGTTTATGCAATATTAAGAGTTCTTTTTTTTTTCTTTTTTTTTTATTATTAACTTTTGACTTTCTTCTTTACAGGGTCTGTGGATTGGAATGCTAACGGGAGTGGCAATGCAAACCTTTGTTCTTTCTTTAATTGTATGGAAAACCAATTGGGACAACCAGGTAAGCATGGTGAAACATTATGGTGAGCCTAATTCTAGATTAGCTAGGGTCCACCTAAATTTAAAGAGGCAAAATTTATTGAAAGTAAATTTAAGCCAAGTACAAAATGAAATCTATATATGATTTAGAGAAATTAAACTCGAAGGTATCAGTTTAAATATTTTGAGAAAGGGAAAGATTTGAATATTTTGACATTAAAAAATTAAAATATTTAATTATAATTATTAAATATGTGACTTATAATATAAATTTTAATTTTATCAAATTTATTATATAGTCATAATTATTAAATATGTAAAGTATAATATAAATTTTAATTTTATAAAATTATCATA